ATGATGATTTTAAAGACGATATTTAGCTCGTTTCACATTATTGTAGATCTATTGCACGTTTTAAGTGCATTGTTGAATAAAATGAATATTATTATTATTATTTTTAAACATCGTCAATAATAATAAATTAATAACCAATAATATGACAGCTTCAAATAACATCACCTGACCGACACTTTCGGATGAAAATGAACGATTTCGATTGTGCTCTTGCTCTCTCTCTCTCTCTCTCTGTCTGTCTCTCTCTCACTCTCTCTCTCTCTCTCTCTCTCTGTCTCTCTCTCTCTCTCTCTCTCTCTCTCTCTCAGCAGCAGCAGCAGTTGAAGCGCGAGCTGCAGGTGAGGGCACAGCCACCTCTCAGAGCAAATTAGTTTGCAATGTGACAGAGCAGGCCTCAGCTTGCTCTGGTGGGGAAAACTGGGTTCGGGGACCACACAAAAAAATGATATAATAAAATGAAATAATAGGCTAAATAGCAAAACTGGATTTAATTAACAAACAAGTTAAATAAAATGCCTTGATGAAATGAAACAACTGAAGAAGAAAATGAAAGAATTCTGAAACCAGCTCAAATGTTCTGAAATAAGACGTGTTGTGGTCGTTGATCATTTGAGACTGATTTTTAACAGCACTCCCGCAAGATTCTCTCTTGCTTTCACAAAAAAAGCTATTTAAATTTTATGTCCGTTATTAATAGCCTATTTAAGTTTTAAGGGGGGCTAGACTCTCCCTCAAATACACGGAATATACATTCTTGTCTTATTTGCGTTTAATTTGATGGAATGATAAACACGGACATGCGCCTTTTTCAGAAAATAACCTATTTATTTAATTTAAAAATATGTTATGCCTATAATAGTTTATAAAGGCGATTAAAATATATTTATTTAAACTAGCCTATATCAAATTCAATTACAATCTGTATTTTACCATTCGTTTTGGCATTAAAGAATTATTAAACAGATTATTTATAACTTAACAAAGAACATTTTAATGAGCTCAGTGAAACGTTTTAGCTCAAATAGGCCATTTAATATTAGAGGAATTGCCAACTTGCCACAGCCATGTCTAAAATGAAACTCTTATCAGAAATAATAAACACATAACCTATGCCAAGCGCAATATTTGTGTTAGATCTTAGCAAATACAAATGTGACACTGTTGATTACTTTTGTGATGATTAGACCTGAAGCCACGCCGCGCTCACCTGAACAAAAATACATTCGCGCATCCCTAACAATTATTTTCAACTCGTAAGTTGAACATTACATTTGTGAACATTTGTGAAATGTCAGGATGCAGTTTATTTAGTTACCACAGTGTATATAGTGCATTAATGGACTCTGCAATGGCAATTTTCAAAAACTAATATCAGCTTAATTCATATATGTTGCCCCAACACAAATACATTTTGATTTTTTTTTCCCTTCACTTTCGTCATTTGGTGAACTTAGTTCCTCTCCGTTGTCGCCACTGGCTTGCTTGGTTTGTGATTTGTGGAGCTGTGCATTGATGGATTTGCTCTTCAGTGTTTCGACTTTCAGCAATAAAAACTAAACCACACTGAACTGAACCAATCTGAACTCTGAAAACAATTTACTAGAACTTCTACGTTAAGCTGCTTTGACACAATCTACATTGTAAAAGCGCTATAGAAATAATGATGAATTGAATTTATATCATTTTAGCTTCTTGGCAAGACTGGGAAGTAGTTTGAAATTTCCTCAGCTAGTTAAAGAAAGTTATACCATCGACATATGTACAGCCAGCTGCCCAAGTAATGACACATCCAGTTTAATAGCATTTAATGGAGCCCCATGAGGCCTGAGGTGTGCCCCTGTGTGAATGAGCAGCACAGTTTCGATTACTACACAGACTCAGTCACACATGATGCTTGCGGAGTTTTCATTGTCTGCTGTTTTACTATATGAGGGGGAGAGTCCACAGGAGTTCACTTTCTTGATTTTTTTTATATAAAAATGCTGTCCACAGCAACATGCATTGAGACTTGGAATTTTCGCAATAATTGATAGTGTTTGATTATTAATTTAAGGTTTGCAGCATTGATTTTATTTCAGTTTTGTTAGATGCGTTGACCCAAAAAAAAAAAAAATGGCCACACATATTTTGTTGATAAATAAATTGGTAAGTACACTCAACGGCCATTTTACTAAACTTCACCAATTGATGAAAGTGAAGGGGGAAAATAATCACAACGTATTTGTGCTGGGGCAACATCGATGAATTAAGCTGATATTAGTTTTTGCAAATGTAAGTGTATTGCACAAAAAATAATTAAGTTATCCACCAAAAAACATAAGAATTGTGTCAATTCAGCTCAGTTAAAATAAGTAGTTTGGCCAAACATACATTTTTGAGTACACAACTTAAATTTACTAAAATTGACTAACATTGTTAACGTCGAGTTTTTATTACTACAATATTTGTTGAATCCTGATTAATTGATTAAAATTTGTAAGCTAATATTTATTGTTCTGACTTTTTGTCGTCCTTTTTTTTACAGTGTGGTTATTGTTCTGCAGATAAGCCAAGTTTCCATCACAATGCAAATATGTTAAGTTCACCAAAAAAAAAAAAAAAAAGAGTAAACAAATCACAAATGCGATTAAGGTGCGTGGTTGGAGTGGCCAACTGTAGTATTGGTAACCTAGTAACCAACAGTACACAAGGCAAGTATAATAGAGACAGCTGATTGGTCTCGCGGGTGTAATTGCTACATCAAAGTTTATTTAGCAAAGTGTTTCCATAACTCATTCTTGGGTCCAGACAGAATCTGTTGGCATTTTTTGCTATTTCAGTGCAGAATTAAAAAAAAATAATCTGTGGATTTTGGGAGTATCAGGACAAAAAACGTAATATATATGTTATGATATAATATATATATATATATATATATATATATATATAATATGAAACGATACCCTTTGCTTCATGTTTACATTGCAAATCCAATTAGATCCACTTATTTGTTAAAGAAAGCAAGTCTCTCATATCATAGATCTATACAAGAAAACAGAAAGTATGACTTTTCAAACTGTTTTGTAAAACAAAAACATGAACATTTTCATAGTGGTCAATAATATTCCTAAAATTAATAAAAAAACAGAATAAATAAAAATGTACACACATTTACACCAGTAAATAGACTCAATGATAGGCTGACATAAAGAAATTAACGTAACTTATTAGTTTTAACAAATTTATGTGGATTGAACGTAAAATAAGTTGTCCCCCAAAAAACGTAAGAATTGTGTCGTTTCAGCTCAATTAAAATAAGTAGTTTGAACAAACAGCAAACAAATTTGAGTTTTTTTCTCACTAGTGATGAAGTTTTTATTACAAAAAAAATTGTTGAATCCTGATTAATTGATTAAAATTTAAAAGGTAACATTTGTTGGTCTGACTTTTTGTCGTCATATTTTTTTTTTACAGTGTGGTTATTGTTTTGCAGATAAGCCATGTTTCCATCCTAACATGACACAAATAGTTTAAAGTTCACAAATAATGAGCGAAAAACATCCCAAATGCAAATTAGGTGCGTGATTAAAGTGGCTGACTATAGTATTGGTAACCTAGTAACCAAGTGTAAACAAGGCAAGCATAATGGAAACAACTGATTGGTCATGCGGGCGTAATGTTGATATGTCAAAATTTATACAGCAAATGTGTTTCCTTATAATGTTATTAGGGCCAGACAGAATCTGAAGAATTTTTTTGTTTATCTTTCTGTGCAGAATTAAAAAAAAAATCTGTGGATTTAGTTAGAATGATTTTGGGTCACAGAAAAAAAATATTTTACAAACTGTATTGTTATATTAGTCTATAGTCATTTTTTATTAGTCATTTTTATATTAGTCCTCTAATATATTGCTGAAATTAATTTAAAAACTGAATAAATATAAATTTACTCTCATTTGCACCAGTAAATGAACTCAATGATGGGCTAACATAAGGGAATTAAATTAATTTATTAGTTTTTACAAATTAAAGTGGATTAAATGCAAAATAATTAAGTTGTCCTCCCAAAAAACGTAAGAATTGTTTCGTTTCAGTTGAATTTAAATAAGCAGTTTGAGCAAACAGCAAGCATAAATTTGAGTGCGCAACTTACAGTACATTTATTAAAATCAACTTACACTGTTATCGTAAAGTTTTTATCACAAAAAATTTGTTGAATCCTGATTATTTCATTAAAATTTAAAAGCTAATATAAAATAATAAGAATAATATAGATGTTGAATAAATGAGAATTATATATATATATATATATATATATATATATATATATATATATATATATATATATATATATATATATATATATATATATATATATTTATATATATATATATATATATATATAAAATGGGATATAATATAATAAAGAGAATTCCAAATGCGAATTAAGTGTGTGATTAGAGTGGCTGACTGTAGTATAACAGTAAACAAAGCTGGAATAATGGAGGCAGCTAAATAGTCACATATGTGTAATATTCGATATGTCTATTCAGCAAATGTGTTTTTATCTCCTGATATTAACATGAACCTTATTTCATACATGTCCAAAACCACCTCAAGCGACTATTAAAAAAAACGTTTAGCAAATTTAAGGAAATTTTTGTCAAAATTTGCCATTTCCATCCGCCGTTTCTCATGCGATACTTCAAAATGCGCATTAACACAGGATGTTGGAAGCCCAGCTATAGATGAAAAGATCAATAAAAGAGAATTGAACCCCCCCCCCTCTCTCACACACACTTTCCGGTGGGGGAGAACGTTTGTAGGTTTCATGCTGTGAGGGTCCTGTTAGGTCTCCTCCTTCCACTGTCCCATTTGTCGTCTCTGCTCATCAGCCCTGTCCCAATCATCATCAGACCTGACCTTTCTGACAGGCTTCCTCATGGTCACAGGGGGGCTGAATGTGCGCTTTTGTCACAATGAACTCATACCTGATCACTTTTGTGTGTGTGTGTGTCTACAGGGGACTGTGCAGTTCTGAGCAGGAGGTATTTGAACAGAAAGAGCCCCTGTCATCATTAATATGATGGCCAACACGGTGAGTGTGTTAAACCTGTGTGGATTGTTCAAATGGACTTCGCTTTCATTATGTTCTGGGCTGTTTTTGCCCCATTGACTCATTATAATGACATTTTGTGATTGCAAAGCTGAGCGTTGGTAGTTTTCTCTGTTGGGAAAATGAGCTAAAATTTGTTGTTCATCTTTTGACACCATTAACCCTTTGGATAGGCCTGTGCAAATTTCTGTTTTTGTTTTTTATATAGAGTTTTTTTGAGTGTAAATCAAATGATAGTGTGCGTGCATAAATATACTTACTGGGCTCTATTTCTATGATCTAGGCTCAAAGTCTGAAGCGCATGGCGCAGAAGCATTAACGGTGTGTCTGTATCCACTTTTGCTATTTTAAGGACGGAAAAATAAGCTCTGCGCCTTGGCACATGGTCTAACAGGGTTGTGCTTATTCTCTTAAAGAGTTATGCCCTGGCTTAGCCAGTTGGCATTTCTGTGTGGAGTGTGTATGTTGTCCCCGTGTTAGCAGGGGTTTCCTTCTGGTGCTCCGGTTTCCCCCACAGTCCAAAGACTTGCGCTATAGGTGAATTGAAGAAGCTAAAATGTTTAAATAAAAGCGATACTAAATAATAGTGTGTGTGTGTGTGTGTGTGTGTGTGTGTGTGTGTGTGTGTGTGTGTGTGTGTGTGTGTGTGTGTGTGTGTGTGTGTGTGTGCGCGTGCGTGCGTGTGTGAATGACTGTGTATGTATGGGTGTTTCCCACTACTGGGTTGCAGCTGTAAGGGCATGAGCTCAAACTTTTCTCCTTGCCATCCCCCTGATCTTTAGCTCCCTCGAGAGATTCTCTATTGGATTTAAGTCAGGACTCTTGCCGGGCCACTGCAAAATGTTAATATTTTATCAGCTAAAAGCTGAGAATTTTTTTTTTTACAATGGTGCGTCTTGTACCTTGTCTTCTTATCTTTTGGGAGAAGAAGTTTCCAGTTAAAGTAAGTAATAAAGTATTTTGCTGATGTAATACTAATATGTTCACCAGAGATTAAAGTTTTTTATTTAAATGAAGCATTTGTTAAAAAATTACAATTGTGAAAAAAAGACAATTTTTTTTATTTTTTATTTTATTGATTTATGAGCATTTGAGAGCTCCCTCGTCCTCCAAAGACTGCAACAGTTTAGAGTCATTCATACCAAAAAACATTCCATGTGACATCAGTGGTTCGGCTGTAATCATGCGAAGCTCTAAGAAAACCTTTTTTGCAACAAAACAAAACAAAACAAAACAAAACAAAACAAAACAAAACAAAACAAAACAAAACAAAACAATGTGAAAATGACTAAATACAACCGAATACCAAACATTATATAAACTTTTAAACTGGAAATTTTAAATCCATTCCAGTCGTGTTTGAGAGCGTGATATGGTTTAGCTTACAGTACTTGTTCAATCACATGGACTGGGCTGTAGATGTTTAAATATGTGATCTGTTGATCTACGCTGCGATCTTTTCACATGAGCAGCTCATGTTTATAGTGTCTCTGTATGTTTTTAATGCAGCTCCATGTGAGTTCTTCAATCTTTCCAAGTTCGCTTAACTCATTTGTTCAGTCATTTTCCTTCGGCTCAGCCTCTGATTTATCAGAGGTCGCCACAACGAAATGAACCACCAACTATTCCAACATACGTTTTACGCAGCAGATGCAACCCAGTACTGGGAAACACCCATACACTCTCACATTCACAAACACACTTATACACCACGGCCAATTTAGTTTACCCAATTGACTTACACAGCATATCTGGACTGTGGGGGAAAGGAAACCCACGCGAACACTGGGTAAACCTGCAAACTCCGCACAGAAATGCCAACTGACCCAGCTGGAACTCGAACCAGTGACCTCCCTGTTGTAAGACAACAGTGCTAACCACTGAGCCACAATGTTGCCGGTGTTGTTAAACTTTTTTGTGAACAATGCAAAGAACAAACACAACCTTAAATATTAGTTTTGCACTGCTACATACACTGTTTACGGAATTGTGTGGTTTATAATGCTATAATAGGAGAAACTAAATGGCATGTCATGAAGATACAAGATGTTCTAACAGTTTCTTAAATTTTCTCCTTGCAAAATAGAGCATATATTTCGAAATGTACATATTAAATACGATTTCCCCTCTGTTTCATTAAACGTATGTCCAGCGCTTCCTGAGAACCTACGCTTAATGTTTAGTTTAAATGTCCGTCTGTGGTGTCGTGTTGATTAAATCATGGTGACATGTTCCGCGACCTCTGACCCCTGTGAATAGATGTCTCTGTAAACTCGACCGACATCTGTTTACTCGTCCGTTTAAAGCAGTGAACTCAATAGATATCCGCAGTGTTTCACTGTCCGTCTCCGCTGATTTGATCTAGCCCTCGGGTCGGAGCATTTTAATAATAACTCAACAGCCGTGAACATGAGGAGAATCATGTAGAAACGACATTTGCTTCTACCCTGTTCAAACTCGTATCTATTCTGCGAGTGCTGTATGTTGGAGCTTTTTTTTGTGTTGTCTTTCTGTCAAGTGTTGCCCCACCACAGAAGCAGACGCCGCTGGTGATACTCTGATATCACACTATCAGCTCAGAAACAGACCTCAGTTCAGTCTGCTGTATTTTCCACAAAGTAGGACACGGTTCAGTACTTACAGTTCTGAACAGGTTTGCATACTATGTAAGACAGGAAAACATTCATGCAGTTTAGTCATTATTTATATAATGTAATATTAAAGGGCCACGAGACACCAAAACACATTTTTTGAGCTGTTGACAGTCGTATATGTGTCCCACACTGCTAAAAACACTATTAGGACACCTATATTTCACTAAAAAGTGTAAATTGGTTGTTTTTGCGTTATTTCAAGCAAATTCGTACTTCTGGTTTGAACAAATTTTTGAAGCTGCGTCACGGTCATGACATAATAGCGTGTATTCCAGCGTGCAGACTGGACGTCTGTGCCAGAGTGTGTCTTATTACGTCTTACAGTGTGTTGCATTAATGCATGAGTAAGGCTTGGTTCAAACCAATCAGCACGCTCTATTGTGCAACTTCATTAATATTCATTACTGTCACAGTGTTTACACGACAGAGACGCCACGTTGTGTTGGCAAAACAAGCGTGAAGTGTTGCTTTTATAGTTTGCTGCAGTTAAGTTTTGTTTTCATTTTCTCTCTGTGAGAGCGCAGCTGGCGTCACGTGTGGATTAACAGTGTACGCGAAGCACGCCAACAATAACTTACGTGTCTAAGGAGGATTATTGTTTACCCGAGAGCTTTTTTCATCTGCAAACGCTGAGATCCGGATTCGCTTGTAGTATTCTCTTTATAAAGACGCGGCTCTAGTTGCTGGTGATTGTCCTGTCTCTACAGATTTGGTTAGTGAGCGACCAGTGCTCTTTGTTTATTCAGTTTGTTCGTATCGAACTAAGTTAACTATTGCACCGAGTGTAAACATGTTAGCACTACAACCAAACTTTAACCTCGTGTAGGGTTTTTACCGCATTTAGTGACCGGAATAACACACGCGGCTTTCTGACACTACCTGCCGTGTGCATCTAAGTTTCCGGGAAATGCGGAGGTTTTTTTCTCTCATTCGCCGTGCGGTATCAAACACTGCATGAAAAATACACGCTTAGAGCAGTTCCTCGAATCAAATATCTTGTTTGTCGCGAGGGGCATGAATGAATTTTCTGAATGAAAGAGCCAAACTGCAGTTAAAGTCCATCATTTAATAATTTGGAAAGTAATTCGACTACAGATGTCCATGTAGGTTAAACACCATCACTTTCTCCTGTGTGTGTGTATTTTGACCCTGAAACTCACGCGTGCCCAAATAGACACTGCCACACCCTCCCACTTTAGTTCCTCAGACATTCCCCCCTAAACAGAGCTGGACACGCCCACTTTGCTGACTTTTTCCAAAGTAGAGGTTTGAAAACACCCTGCTGAAACGAGGGGGTTTCATGACCCTTTAAGTATTTAAAAACACCAGTTGCGTTAACATTATATTCTATGTTGTTTTTTTATTACACTCTTGCATCCAACTAGTACCTATATCAAAGCATTTATGCAATGCCATTCATTAAATTTTCTTCAGCTTAGTTCCTTTATTCATCAGGGGTCACCACAGCAGAATGAACCGCCACCTTATTGACCTTATTCTAAAATGCGGAAGTGCGCCTGTTTTCGCGATTGTCTTAGAACTTCCGATTCAATCGCCTATGGGAGAAATGACTAAGAATAATAAACGGCATGAAACGGTCAACTTACTTGCTCTACAAACAAATGTTTGCAAGACTATACAGACCAAGTAGAATAATATAATAAGAAAATATCAAATTGCAACATCAAACAGCGAAACGAGCAGTTTTTAACGTCAAAAAATGAATGGAAGTGAATGAGACCGGAAGTCTCGAACCAAAAAGATTCAAATGGCAGCGCCCGCTCATCGGCGGAGAATAAGGTGAGTATAGCATATGTTTTACTCAGCGGATGCCCTTCCAGCTGCAACACACACACACACACACAATGACCAATTTAGTTCATCCAATTTACCTATAGCACATTTGCTTGTCCGCTTAGTCCCTTTGTTAATCCGGGGTCGCCACAGCGAAATGAACCGCAAATTTATCCAGCAAGTTTTTACGCAGCGGATGCATTTCCAGCCGCAACTTATTGCGTACACTACGGACACTACGGACAATTTAGCCAACCCAATTCACCTGTACTGCATGTCTTTGGACTGTGGGGGAAACTGGAGCACCCGAAGGAAACCTACGCGAACGCAGGGAGAACATGCAAACTCTACACAGAAACGGCAACTGAGCCGAGGGTCGAACCTAGCAACCTTCTTGCTGTGAGGCGACAGCACTACCTACTGCGCCACTGCTTTGCCCATAGTCTGTCTAAAGTGTTGTAAACAAACTATATAGTATACTATGAGCAGGGATACAATCAGTCAGCGCAGTCGTCCCTCCATAATCAAAAGCAACATTTTGTGTCTGCCGGTTTGTTTACTTGTGCATTTTCCCGCACGTGAATTCTGACCAATCAAAAAGCAGTTTAGGAAATACATTCAACAACATCTGGCCAATGAGTGATGTGGATTTTGTCAGATAACTGCATTTTGGTTGTTTTCAACTGGTCACACTGGTTTTTCAATCGTTGTGGTGTGAAAAGGACCCAAAGACAGCAAAAAATCCAACAATTTGTTGCTTTTGGTCTGAACCAAATGAACTGAACTACAGATGTGAAAGCACCCTTAGTGTCCCAGTGATGATAAATATCCAAATTGCACTGCTACGAGTGTGATATTGTGTTCAAACAACAGTTGGACTGTATAATAGTGTGTATAAAAAAGAAAATCAAACACGGAGAGATTCAAAACCCTCTTGTATGAGGAACTACTTTCTTCCACCATTTATTCACATCTGCAGCAGATTTCAGAACAGCAGAAAGCATTGCTCATTTACCAATATACCTAGTTTAAATGATTCTCTAGCGTAATATCTAAAGAGATGACAAAACAGGTGATTTTGCTGACTTTTAAGATTCCATGTGGGCCTGCTTATCACTAACAAGGAATGGGCACAAATGCCATTGGAGACTAGATTAGATATTGCCACCCCTTAACAATACAATAATACATTATGATGCTGACAACATCGCAATCATAACTGGATAAGACAACATATTAACTCTCCATGTGCATTTTACTGGGTTTTACTTTCAATTTTGAGTGCTTATTTAGACACTGTCATCTTCTGAATGGAAGTTATACATGTCTTTGCAATGAAAAACATGGTGCAAGATATCTGTTACTCATCTTTTTAAGGATGGCTTTACTTATTGGAGACAAAGTATTAAACATTGCACATTTACACTCTTTCTCAAATCCTTCTCCTTTTAGATTGGCGCTGCAGCTCTGTGTGGAGACCTCAAGGCCTTTCTGAACCAAAACCTGTCCAAAGGTACTGTGACTGTTCTGTAATATGCACGACACAACATTTGTCTGCAAGTGTGTCCATCATTTCAGGAAATAAGTATTTTGGGGGAGTTTTAGCAATTGCGAGATGTCTCATATACTTATCGTGTATGTAATATAACTGTTTATTAAATCTATTTTATATGTTTAAAGTTAGTGATGTAGAATTGTTAGAATTGGGTTCCATATATTCCCTATATGCTTGCTTCTAATATATTCATTTGGAGTGTAAGGCAATAAGTTATTCTTTCCATTTCATAAATTTCTCTAATTTTTTTTATCCATTGGTCATACGTAGATGGGTCTGATCTGAGCCAGTTAGACGTAATACATTTTAGTGCTGCAGAGAGCAGTATTTGAAATAAAGAAATACTTCTTCGTTCCCTCATGCTCGCAGGCACCATACCTAGGACTGCCACAGTTGGATCAAAGGGAATATCAATACAAAATGTCTCCAAGTACCTTATAGATATTAGGGCTGCTCGATTTTGGGAAAAATCATAATCACGATTATTTTGTTCAAAATTGTAATCACGATTATTCAAAACGATTACTGTTTAAGTCAAAATTATTAGCACTCCTGAAAATTTTTTTAAAATAAATATTTTTAAAATAATAGAGAAAGGAATTTTAACGGTATTTCCTTTAATATTTTTTCTTCTGGAGAAATTATTATTTTGGCTGGAATAAAAGCAGGTTTAAATATTTTGAAACCCATTTTAAAGTTTATAATATTAGCCCTCTTAAGCAATATATATTTTTGATTGTCTGCAGAAGAAACTACTGTTATACAATGACCTGCCTAATTACTCTAATTAAGCCTTTAAATCGCACTTTGAATCTGAATGCTTGTATTTTGAAAAATATCTAGTCAAATATTATGTGCTGTCGTCATGACAAAGATTAAATAAATCAGTTATTAGAAATGAGTTATTAAAACTATTATGTTCAGAAATCTTCTTTTCATTAAAGAGAAATTGGGGGGAAATGGTTGCTAATATTCAGGAGGGCTAATAATTCTGACTTCAATTGTAGATATACAGTTATTTTCCACCCTGCAAACAAAAGATAAATAAATACAATAGAATAAAAATATAAAACAATCTGTGCTTTAAGCATCTTCACTGTAAGAAAAACATTTTAGCGACAAAAGTCCTTCAGTCAAGAGCAGAGAGGCATGTTCTCCATTTGCTGTTTGATTATTAATCATAAAAACAGGCGGCAGCAGGATTATCACGCACTGTCTCTTTAATGGTTTCTCTTTCGCGTGTCTTTTGATTCTCAACTCGTTTGTTTATTACACAAATGAGGGTTAATACGAATAATCACTAAACACCGCGTTTTGACACCTATTTGACCATTAAAGCGCTCACGTTAAGATGACTTTAGATGTGTGCGCACTCCTTGGGCTCTATTTTGACGGTCCATGCGCAGAGCGCAAAACGCAGGGCGCAAACGCTTTCAGGGCGTGTCAGGATGCGTTTTTGCTAATTTAAGGACGGGAAATCTGTCTTGCGCCAAGGCGCATGGTCTAAAAGGGTTGAGTTTATTGTCTTAATGAGTTATAGGTGTGTTTTAAGAATAAACCAATTAGAGTCTCATCTCCCATTCCCTTTAAGAGCCAGCTGCGTCGCGCCAAGAGCGCATTCGCTATTTACTGGACGCAAAGTAAGTCTAAGTGGAAAAAATGAGCATTTCACAAGTAAACAGTTAAGAGTTAACAGTTTTTTTAACAGAATCTACTGCGTGAGAATGAGAGATAATGGATCACTTTCACATTCGCTCTTGGATAGGGAAACCTTTACGCACAGACATCAATTAGTCTATGAATAAATACTTTTGTTTGTTAAGCGCAAATATTTGTTTCAAAACTATTTCTAAATTCAGTTGTAATTTCCAGCAAATGAATAAAAGAACAATAATAACAAAATGTGCTCAAAAACCTGAGTTATATCCTAAAACACATGCTGTGCCCCATATGGTCTAAAACCTGACAGGTGGGCAAATCTAAGCTTGTTTTTAATAAAACAAATATAAATATGGATATATTTAGTAATACTGCTAATAATAATAACGTTATACAAAAGCAAATTGTTATGAATGAACTGAAAAAGCCTCCCGAGATGAAGTAGACATAAAAGCAGTGATTTTTCATATTTATGTAGGCTGGAAAATAATGTTTTGTAATATTTTAATCCTTTATATTTATATCCTATATCTATTCTTATTATATCCTTTATATATCCTTAATATTTAAATATTTTCATATGCAAATATATTTGCCTATTGCTCTCTTGTGCGTATTAAGCAGTGTGTAAGCGAGGCACAACTCTGCGCCGGAGTTTAGACCGGGTTTGTTTTGGTCTAATGAAAAATCTATTATAGTTTCTCAAAATAGCAACGCGCCAGCAGTCCGCCTCAGAACGCCTTCATTTTTAGACCAGAACACCTATGGGCGCACAAATGAGCGCTAATGCATTTGCTATTTAAACAGCGTAGCGCAACGCCTCAAAACGACTCTTGCGCCAAGCTGAAACTACCAAAAGACTATTGCGCCGCGCCTTGCGCCACACTGCACCGGGTGTATGATAGGGCCCCTTGTCTCAGTGTGCGAATGAGACCGAATGCTGACTGCATGCTTCTGTTCTGTGTGTGCGCGGCACACAGAGTCATGCGGTCTTTCGTGCTTTTAAGAGCAACACGTGTACACCTGGAAAGGGGGCGGTAAATTATGCAATAATCGTTTATCTCTATTAATGGTTTTTCATAATCGTTAGAAGCCAAAATCGAAATCGGATTTTCGATTAATTCCACAGCCCTAATAGATATCATTCCAAAATTGCTGCAGTTTTGGGCAATACCAAAAGATATGAGAGTGGTTCCCTAAATGATCACCACATTCTCTCCAGCATCTATTAGATGAGCCTATTCTTATCTTTGCTTCGATTTGTGAGGTGCGGAAATATCTTACAATGATTTTCCACTTACATTCTCTTCGTACTTTTGAGTTTGTGACTCTATGGCTTCTGAGCCTAAATCAATCCAGTTGTCTTGTGTAATCTCTGACAACAAGACTTTTGAAGGTAGTGTAGTCTTTGTGCTGATTTGGCTACATTTACGTTAATTTAATGTACACTGTCCCTAAACTAAACAACGATCTGCCCATCAGCTCAAGCCAGTCTGACTCCCATCAGAACATGTGTTCATTGAGCACATCCATCCACTTCTCGTGCTCTCTGGGGCCTTCCACTGCTCTCAGATCAGTCCAGGCCAGAGCAAGCGAGTGCCCATCGCCCGTCTGCTCTTTGACTGCCGCTTCTGCATCAGGAGGAAGTGCTGCAGCCGGCACACACACGCACACACTCACACACACATCTTATTGAATGCAGCCGCTGTGAGCGCGTTTCCCACTCGGCATGGGTGAAAGTCCAAGTGCGGGTGGGTGGACTCCTTCTGCGCTCGCTCTGCAATGCCTGGCCAGCCTCTCAAGTTTCCACTGAATGGTAACAAAAGGGACACACTCACACACACACAGAGAGAGAGAGTGTGTGTGAGCAAAACCAGGTCCCAGCCTGCCTTGGAAACATGCTCTCCACTCCTCTTCAGGTAAATCCTGCACCCCTACTTTTTTTTTCGTGCTGTCTTTGTTGCGTGCGTTGAGGGATTGTGTCGGAGCAGCTGGGACGGAGGCTGCACGTGTGTCGGGACGGCACGCTGAGAGGAACACACACTCTCTCTCTCTCTCTCCTTTTTGTTGTGGAAGTTCCTCTTGGTTTAGGAGGAGGAGGAGGGGTCCCACTCTACAGTATGTGTGGGACCACAACTTTTTTTATTAGGAACCCAGTAGAGTTAAAGCATGGAAGTCCTTGTCGTGCCGCTCCATAAACGAACAGGTAATTCTCATCTGGAGGAATGCTACTATCCAAAACTTACGATAATTTCAAGTAACATCACATGCGCTGGTTTTTAAAGAAGCAGGCTTGTTATTTCTATGCCATCTGCTGTTTAAGTGTGTCGCTTTAGATCTGGGTTGTTGCGTTTAGCAGTCGCCGATTCTCTCAGATGTCACTTGATGTGGTTTTCATCGTGTTGAGCGTGCGCCGGAGTTTTCTGTTGACTGCTTGTGCAGCCCCAGGAAGCAGCACTGTGTGTTTTCCTGGCTCTGTATGCGTGTTTGCGCTCTCTGATTTATCACAGTGCTGCTCAATATTGGCGTGTGTGTGTGTGTGTGTGCTGAGGCGCTGCTCAGCTGTATTCTAATGTGGCTTTGCTCATTGTTGCTGTAAAGAGCGTGTGGCACTGACGCATTCCTGCGCCGAGGCCTCGCACAAAACCTCTTCAGACTGCAGCCCGTCCTGCTGCTGCTCCGCACGCTCACCATCTGCAGCACTTTCAAAAGACTCATTCAGACTCCTCGGACACTTTCTTACTTGTCATCGGGAAATACTTGAAGCATTTAGAGGAGTTTAGATGAAGGATGGACGGAGATTTACATTGGGACAATTCTCGTGATCATTTACTCAATCTCAAGTCCTTTAAAAGCTGTAGGGACTTCCAATGAATGCTGAAGGCATTGCTGTTTTGGCATATAATGCTGTCAAGCTAAATCAATATAAAATATGTATTGCATTGTATGTTTGAAAACTGATTTATATACATTTTCTTTGGTTTTCAAAGTCTTCATGAGATCGAAATCGATAAATACTTTAGTTTTTGATACTGTATTATTTGTTGTAAAACTGCTGTACTTGCATGGAAAAACACAAAGATTTACATTCAGATGATTCTCATGATCATTTACTCAATCTCGAGTCCTTTAAATGTTGTAAGGACTTCCAGTGAATGCAGAAGGAATTGCTAAGCACATGCTAGGCATGTGAAGCTGTTAAGCTAAATCAATATAAAACTGCTGGGTCCTAACGTATTAATAATTGATAAATCATTTATAAGAAAATTAAGGCCCTTGAAAGGTATTAAAAAGTCTTA